AAAAAAAAAAAAAAAACATTTTGTCCGGGAGAAAAAAAAAATTTCACATATTAGACTATAATCGATTAAATAAGACTTTCATTCATTCATTCATTCATACTAACATTTATTTTCTTTCATTGGCATGAGTTACAAAAACAATATACAATATCATAAAAGAAAAGAAAAAATGAGAATAACATGCAATGAAAAAAGGCTCGGTCCCGAAAAGAGAAGTCTTGAGTTGGGCAAGCCTGAAAAAAAAAACACAATATGAAAACTCGTTGGACAATAATAACTGAATTAAGAAATACTAAAAAAAGTAACACAAAAAAAAATAAATAAATAAATAAGTAAGTACATAAATAATTAGATAAATGCATAAATGCATAAATCTTTGATCATAGCGGGACACATCGAGAAACGACCGATAATGTAAATCAAAGGCCTAGTTAATAATTTGAAATCAAGTGTTTATTAAGCTTTGCGGAAAAAGATTTAGAGGAAACGGAATTTAAGATTGTGGATGGTAAGCTGTTGATGAAAGTGGGACCTGAGTATCTAATATTGTGCTGAAAGTGATTTGTATTATGAATGGGTATATGAATTCTAGTTGACCGGGTACAGTAATTGTGAAGAGAGTGATTGTGGATAAATAGGCCTATATCGTTAAACTGAATTGGAAGAAGAGAATGCGTTCCAGAATACATAAATGAGCCTTGTTGGAATAAATTGATATCTTTGAGTTTCAGTAGGTTTAAGTTTGAGAATAGATGGGATGAATGAGACCGTGGTAGAGAGCCAGATATAATCCTGATAGCCTTTTTTGAAGAGTTTGCAGTTTAAGTAATGTGGACGAGTATGTATTGGCCCAAAATGTTACAATAGCTCAAAAAAGGAAGGATGAGGCATGAGGGAACAATAGAGAATACGAAGAATATTGAGGGGTAAAAAAGAGGACTTTGAAACCCCAACATTTTTAAAGGACTACTTTCGCCCCTGACCATTTCCGATAGATCTTGAGCGACGCCAGGGGCGGATTTAGAGGGGCCGGCCCCGGTCCCCTTTTGGAAAGTTAAAAAAAAAGGAAAGCCCGCTGGTTTAATTGAATACCGTATTTATTCGAATAAATGCCTCGCTTTAAATTAACGCCCCGCAACCGCGAATAAACTCACTCTCCAGAGCCTTATTTGGAATGAACGCCTCCCTCGAATATTTCTTCAAATAAACGCCCCACCCCCACCCCAACACATGACTGTAAACAAACTAAAAGGAACATCATTCTGAACACATTCTATTAATGTTCTATACCCTAGTAGAATTACATCTTTTCTAACCTGCTTGGGATCAAAAGTTTATGATCGCATAAAAACATTAAACATTTTGACGGTAATTAGAATGTGTTGTAGTTCTAAATTTGAAGTAAAATTAAGGGGCATTTATTTGAGTAGGCCACGTATCCATTTCCTATCCAAACAATAAACTTCCCCCTCTGGATATCAAAGCAATAAAGCAATACAAAAAAATCCCATTTGAGATTGTCCATCAAACAGTAAATCAGCACACACTTATTTATTTACTTGTTAAGCAACTGCAAACACTTTCAAATATTTAGTTACAATACGCATGTCCAATAATACAGTCAGCGATCCCACGGGGGTATCAAGCCTAGTTGCTATTGGTTTGTCAAATTTGATCTAGTTTTTTGTTCAGCTGAGATCGTGAAGAGAAATAAAGTGAACACTTGCATACCTATGGAATCATTATTAACTCCGATTTGTATACACAACTAAACAAGATACAATATTTTACTTACCGTCGCTAAAGACGCTAAATATTGAAGAAAAAAAGACGAAAAACTCAAACATAATGTTTACTTGTTTGAAATCTATTCCCACGGAATCAGTCCCATTCGTAGAAAACTCCCGAGATTTTCTACTAGTTATTTGAATGACAATTGCATTCCAACCAATAACATGCACGACTACACAATTGAGACCCTTGTATTGAACTATGATACGCCACACGCGATTAAGCAATTTCACCAAGTTTGGTTATCAACAAGTATCGCCCGTAATCTCCTAGGCCAAGCAACACTTTGATATTAACGTAAAATTCAAATTTAATCCATAACAAGATAAGGTCAAGGTATTTTAGCATGTCTTGAAATTCATAATAAATTATTAAATCTCAACTTTTCTATATGCCGCGGCGTGCGTTAAAGCGCTAGTTATCATCATCGAAAATTAGCTTCAGCCTGCATACACTAAATTATCAACAAATATGAAAACAAAATCTGTCAATCAACCAAAGCAATAATGGTTTCTATATTGTTTCTATATTGTTTTACCAAACTGTTTTTAGGATAACAATACCTGTATAGGCTTTATCCCAATGTTATTACCGTATATAACGCCTGTCTCTTATACACATCTAGATGTGTATAAGAGACAGCTACCATATCATAAAAGAAAACAAAAA